AAATGAGGATGAAGATGGATGGGGGACGATAGGCTGACTCTGTAAACCGCTTAGAGAGGGCTGTGAAGCCCTGTGAAGTGGTATATAAGTCTAAGTGCTATTACTAGCGCTATACAAGAGCCATGGTGGTGCAGTGGTTAGAATGCAGTATTGCAGGCTGACTCTGCCGACTGCTGGCAGTTCGATTCTGTCCGGCTCAAGGTTGACTCAGCCTTCCGTCCTTCCGAGGTGGGTCAAATGAGGACCCAGATTGTATGTGTGTGGGGGGGAAGAGGCTGATTCTATACACCGCTTAGAGAGGGCTGTAAAAGCACTATGAAGCGGTATATAAGTCTTAAGTTCTGTTGCTGCTATCCGAATGTAAATCACGAGACTGTGTGGATGCCGCCACAGCCATAAGTGTAAAGTCACGTTTTTCAGTGCCGTTGTAATTTTGAACGGTCACTAAATGAACTGTTGTAAGTCGAGGACTAACTGTAAGGACCTGCTTACCCCCATCTGGAGCCCTCCAAAAATCGGGTGTGTGTTGCATTGTTTCCCCATCCAGCTTCAGCAGTGCAGCTGCCCCCCCTTCAGCCAGTACATCTTTTCCATTCCCTCCCCAACTTTCTGACTGTGACATAAAGCCACATGCCTTACAGCTGGGTCTGTACCAACAAGATCACGGGGATGAGAGGCACTGGGTAGTCTGGGGCATAAAATCCAATTGGACTCCCCACCCCACCCCCGGATCCCTCTTGGAACTCTCCGTTCCCAAACATGCTTGCCCAATAGCAGATGAATTTTGGGCACTCGCCATTTTTGATTTTATATATTTAGATTTTATACTGCCGGCTTCCTAAAGCAGGTGAGTGAGCTCTGGCTTCATCTGCTAAGCCAGCTTTCCTGATAGCCTCGGGACGGTGGCCAGAATCCGGCCTGCCTGCCAAGGTTAACCAGTGCCTCCCATCAGGAGGGAGATGCCTGGTAAAGGAGACCCTTTTACTGCTAGTTGTGGGGTCAGTCTGTTGTGTGGCCGTATCCTTGGGCAGCCACCGAGTTGTTAGTCCTAGGGCAGGGATGGTTAACCTTTTCAGTACCGAGTGCCAAAACTGGAGTGTGTGCATGCGCATGGCAGCCAGCTGCTCTTCCGGGCTCCATTGCATGCATGCATGCCAATCAGCTGGTTTTGTGCGACAGAACCCGGAAGAGCAGCTGGCAATGGTCTGTATGCCCACAGAGAGGACTCTGGCACGTATGCCATAAGTTCGCCATCACGGTCCTAGGGCCTGTTCTGCCCCAGTAGGGTCTTTGCCATTTTGGGTAAGGAAATGCTGTACTAGGGATCAGCAAACTTAAACACTCAAAAAGCGACAAAAGTCCTAACTGGAAGCCCCCAGTTCAGTAGTCTCCTCCTAGCACGGCGTCCTTTTTCCTCTGCTGACTGGAGCTCCNCTTAATCATTGGTTCTTCACTTTTCTGGATGTAATCATTCAAGCTGTGTTTTTCTTCTTCCACAGTCTGTTTTACTTGTAGGACTATTATATACTTTATTCATTAAACATGAAACTCAGCTAACTGAACCTTCAAAAATGCATTACAAATACCACTGAGTAGTGCTAATGGTTGATACGGTTTGCTGCCAGTGTCCTAGGTATCAACCAAGTACCTTCTTAAAATATAAGATGTTCCGAGTAGTGCGTTTTTTGCAGTTCCGCTGGTATTATTGCAGGAAACTGCAATTTGTTGATGTTTTTTATTATTATTATTATCGTTGTCATCTTTATCCTTCCTTTGTTATTTTTTGTAATCAATTCAAAGTGGTCAACTTATCCAACACGCATCCTCCTCCCCCCTCCTCCTCCTCCTCCCTCTCTTCCCCACCACCATCACAACAACCCTGTGAGGTGGGTCAGGCCTGAAGGAGAGGTGAGAGGCCCAAAATCACCCAGACAGCTTTCCTGACTAAGGCAGGGGACTTGAACTCGCAACTCCCAACTCTTCCCGCCTTGATGCCTTAATCACCAAGGCTCCTTTAATTGCTGCAGTTGCTTTTCTTACAGCCGGATTCCTTCTTTGTGACTGCGCTGTTTTCATCCACCTTTCATGGTTCATCATTTTCCCGGCTTCTCTCTCCCCCTTGGCTTTTGCGGCTTCTACCGGGCCGGTTGTGGCGGGGCCTGGCTTGTCCTATGCTCAGCTGTGACAACTTCCCATCTCTTTACTGGATGCACTGGATGCACTGTCAATTCTCCTCTAAGATTTCCCCTCTCCCACTCAGAAAAAATGAAGGGTCCATAAATGCGACTTCGTTGCGTTGAAAACCCAGGCAATGTATAACGTCATTTTTACACCGAGCAGGCGAAAGAAATTCAAAAGCTGAAAGCATCACCTGCTAGACTGGTTTGGCTTTTCTTCACATTGGAATTCCTTATTTGAAGGAGTTGCATGATAAGCTCCCAGCAAGAAGTGCTTTTGAGTGCTTTTGCGTTGCATCATGCATAAATACTAACCCAAAAGTTCACGGAGAGGGTTGTGCTTTCCTTATGTGTCGTCTCTGAGAGATTACGCTACAGGTAGTCCTCGGCCTATGGCCGCAATTGTGCCCAGGATTTATGTTGCTAAGCGAGAAATTCGTGAAATGAGTTTGGCCCCATTTTACTTGCCACCTTGGCTAAGAGAATTGCTGCAGTTGTGATATTAGTAAGGCAGTTGTTACGTAAATCTGGCTTTTCCTCATTGCTGGAAGATCGACGAATACGATCACATGATCCCGGGAAAGGGAACCAGTTGTCAAGCATGAGCCGCAGTGGTGCAGTGGTGAGAGTGCAGTACTGCAGGCTCCTTCTGCTGACTACCGGCTGCCTGCAACTTGGCAGTTCAAATCTCACCAGGCTCAAGGTTGGCTCAGCCTCCCATCCTTCTGAGGTAGGTAAAACGAGGACCCAGATTGTTGGGGGCAAGAGGCTGACTCTGTACACCGCTTAGAGAGGGCTGTGAAGCCCTGTGAAACAGTATATAAGTCTAACTGCTATTACTAGTGCTATACAAGAGGCATGGTGGTGCAGTGGTTAGAAAGCAGTATTGCAGGTTAATTCTGCCGCCAGAGGTTCAATCCTGACCTTTGTGGTCGCGGGCTACTTCTGCCTACTGCCGGTTGCCACAGTTTGGCAGTTCAATCCTGACCAGCTCAAAGTTGACGGACCCTTCCATCCTTCCGAGGTGGGTAAAATGAGGATGAAGATGGATGGGGGACGATAGGCTGACTCTGTAAACCGCTTAGAGAGGGCTGTGAAGCCCTGTGAAACAGTATATAAGTCTAACTGCTATTACTAGTGCTATACAAGAGGCATGGTGGTGCAGTGGTTAGAAAGCAGTATTGCAGGTTAATTCTGCCGCCAGAGGTTCAATCCTGACCTTTGTGGTCGCGGG